ATTCCAAAATTAACGAAAAATCCAGCTTTTACCTATTTGGGATTAATATGTGGCTATATATGCTGCACAATTAAATAAGATCTCGAAACTGGAGTTTTAAGTATAGTAACGCCGGTAGTATATATTAGTAGCCAGCCATACATTAGTGCACACGTAAAATAACCTGTCGTCAACTTTGCTGAGTTAGATTTTATTAATAATAGTATTTTTAGCTTTAGGTCTGAGCTTTAATACGAACCTTTACAAAGTGTGATGGGGTATTGCTAAGAGTTGCTGCCCATGACGGTGGGCAATACGTCTCTAAAGTGGTAAAACATCTTCGTATGATCCCAGCACCTCTAGAAGAAAACATTTGTATTTCGCGATTTTTAACTAAACCCAAAACGACCCAAAACACTGTACCAAGTGCATCTTTAGTTCGTGGCGGCCGCCATGTTTTTGTTGAAACAGGTAACCCAAAGAAAGCCCTCATCAAGTTTCCTATATCCCAAKWAAAATAGATTGCACAGGCAGCCTAGTAACATGCAATAATTCTAATGACAGCTATATGCGAATAATTTGTTTACATTTCGGTTATTAACATATCATTAGCATAAGCAGGAGCTCATGCCATAAGCATATAACGTTTAAACCTATCAGTAAATCAGCACTGAACATTGAAGCAACATGACACAATAAGCTTTCCTCGCAATTTTGAGCTTGCTATATGAAATACTTTTTGCGTCAAACGGTTTTAAAAACTTCAATTTTTAGGGAGATTATATGGATGAGCTAAAATTAGCGCTTTTGCCACTCAACATCTTTGAACGCTAATACCTTATAACCWATTTCATGTAAAGACCTCAAACTTTCGTAGTTTATAGTTCTTAATAAGTCCTTTTACATAAGCTTATTTTATAGTTGCTAATAGTAAGTTTTTGTAAACAAAGACCCGCATATATGCATAGTGAAGAATTTGAGTTTCAGTTTGKGAAGTTGATCGTTGCTCTGTTCTTTTTTTCTTTTCTTTTCACTTTTCATTTTCTTGGTTTGTTTAGCCTTCTTTTTTTAGATTAAAAAAATCAATTTAGATTTAGATTGAATTCGTAAAACTACTTCTCCATTTTTTTTTTTTTTCTTTTGCTCGCCCAGGCGCGTAGCGTCCTTTACACGCATATACGCACGTGTGTACTAGTGGCAAGGAAATGTTAAAATTTTCACAAAAATTGCTRAAAAATTCACTTAAAATTGATCCCCTTTACAWGCCCTCGCTGTCTCTCAAAACGCTKGTAATCGCATTCCTAAGAGATATTACTTCAAAATTTCCTTGGGGAGSTCGAGACTCCCTTAAAGGGCTACTTGGACGAAAATTGCGAAACATTAGAAAAGACTTGGAAATCAAATAGATCTATCTATATGGGTCTAATTAATGTCTAATAATMATGAAGCAACAGATATCAAGAAGATATATATGGATACAAATCCTTAATGATTTGGGGAAAAAAAAGGTTGGAGTAGATGACGTCATTTACTCCATCCTTTTGTTCTTCCATCTTTTGAATCAAAATTTCCATCAAATTTACAACCTTTATGGCGCGCGATTTTTTCCAGTGTATGCGTACTAACTACGTCCACGCTACGCGCCTGTCGCCTATAGATGTTACAAAAATAAAAACATAAATACCTATTGATACAGTTAACTCTCTTTGAACGACCACTCTAGTAAGCGATCATCTCTCGTAAGCGACCACTTTTTTCCTGATACCGAGGTGGTCGTTAACGAGAGAGTTGAATGTATCTCCAAATATCTTTTGAAASTTCACTTTTTTGTAGGAGTAGCCTTTTCATGTAATTAAATTATGAGGTTCGAAGATTGTTGAAATATAGTTTTCAAAACATACCTGTCTTCTTCCTTTTCTCTTCGATTGATATCGTCAATCTCGATGAGTTTGTGTTGCGGTTTGGGCGTTTATAGACCGTCCTTTATGTTCATCTTTCATATTTGACTTGTTAGCTGGATCAATTCTCCATTTAAAAATGTAGGAGCGTTGAATTATGGGTAATAAACAGCATTTTTACTATCTATTTAGTATCTCCTTGGCAGCCTTTCTGCTTCTTAGCCTGTGGTAGTTGAATCAACATTGAATAGTGTAAATTTAGTATTCACTGTAGTTTGTAATCAAGACAAATTGCCATCACAAAAAAGTGTATAGAATTTTGCCGTCAGGAATATATTCCTATCACCACTGTGAATGGTTTAATAGATCTTTTTACATTTCTTCTATTTATTTTACCATTGCAAAGAAAATTTAGCATTCGGATTGCTTTCCCGTTATACCCAAAGAGTTTATACTATAGAAGGTCACTGCACATTTTATAAAAGATAAAAATAACAAACGTATATAATTTTAAAATTAAAAAATAAAAAAAATATATTAAAAAATTATCAGCAGCCTTTCTGCTTCTTAGCCTGTGGTAGTTGAATCAATATTGAATTATTAGTGTAAATTTAGAATTCACTGTAGTGTAATCAAGGCACATTGCCATCACAAATCACTCCAATTTCGAGTTCAATTCTGGTTTGCTCTGTGTTATAGACTCGAGATCAAGGCGCGTGTTCTTTTGTTTCACTGATAAACAACCGAAAACGTTGGAATTTCCAAAGAAAACTACAGATAGGAATACTTTGCACACATATAAGGTTAACACAGAGAATGGAGAAATCGAACCCGGAATATTCCTGGCTGACATTTGAAAAAAATACTTCTTCAAACACTAGTTGTGTAAAAAGATAAATTTAACACCGTAAAAAAAGTAGTTGAAACAACTTATTATGGGTACTAATCTTTTAAACATTATTTTACTGTTTAATAGTAAACAACATTTTTATATCTATTTAGTATCTCTTTGGCAGCCTTTCTGCTTCTCAGCCTGTGGTAGCTGAATCAACATTGAATAGTGTAAATTCAGTATTCACTGTAGTTGTAATCAAGGCAAATTGCCATCACAAAAAAGTGTATAGAAACACCATTCCTGGAGTCCAAAGTCCAAAGTCCAGATCCAGAATTGACAGTTTAATTTTGTCTGTTTCTTACCTTTTTTTTGGTACTGGAGGTCTCCCAGTATGTTTCGTTTTTGTTTTGACTAATATATATCATTCGAACTCCAYGTGCTCATATGAAAACTTTGCTGTGAAGTTCAAAGTAACCTTTTTTTAAAGATATTAAAATATCTTTTTTTCGAAAAATTATAAAATTAATCTTTTGAAATTTTTATTATTTAGTATATAGCATTTTTATATCTATTGTAAATACCAACATTATTACATGATTATGACTTTGAATTAAAGTCGAAATGTTGTATTCGAACACCAGACTCGTTTCCTTAATCCTAAAACGATGTTTTTTTTCCTCGGAATTATTAATTCGCTAAACTGCGACGTAAAAAAATACATAAAGAAAAAAATAAAGAAAGAAATAGCTAAAAAGTCGCTACATTTAAGACGTGCCGCAGACACAGTATTATGCATGATATTTGMTAAATTAAACCTCCCATGCCAGTGCATGGAAGTAACTAACCGGATATTAGTTTCCAATTCACTAGGTTTTCTTTGTTATTCATAGGGTTGTATATACCATAGAAACTTAAAGCCGGGGAKGGATTTGATAATCAGCAGGGAAATGTGGGGTTGATGAATTGAATTGAATAGCTAGTTATAAATTCAGCGGGCCATATATGAGTGACCGGAATCACTCATATATAGATCGCTGAATTTATAACCAGCTATTCGATTCAATTCATCAGGCCGAACCCCACATTTCCCTGCTGAATATCAAATAAACTTAGTAAACTAAACTATTTTTTCCCTTAAAAAGACCAGTGTGACTAGCAAAACTTGACGGGAGATTGAGCGCGTAATATATAAGTTCGAGTCCCGCAGCTTTTCTTCGTGTTCATCAGAGAAAAGAAATAACAATAACCATCTTCGTTACTTGAACTAAGAATCTATACGTCGAAATACTCCGATTTCGAGTTTTGGTTTGCTCTGTGTTAGCCTCAAAACCAAGCAACATATTCTTTTGTTTCGTTGATAGCCCGAGAAAACGCATGGGATTTGAAAAGAAAGACAATCGAATTGATTTGAAATCTCACACTTTTATTTTCACAATTAGGAATATTTTGCGCACAGATGAGGCTAACACAGAGCATTGGAGAATTCGAAACTGGATTATTGGACCAACGTGTATGAATCAGAAGTAATAGTGTAACTCGTATTTCTCCGCTCCTCGGTCCATTCTATTCCAAGCACGTACACACGGCCATTTGGTACTTTAGTTTGTTCCTTCTGGAATCCTTCCCTCGTATTTCTTTGAGCGAGTTCAACATCAAAAACTATTGTAATTTTTCTCTTGTTTTTCTCATCTGCAGACTTTGTCATCGTTATATTTGCGGGCAGAGGCATACGGAGTTCCAAATCC